CTCAACAAAACCCTGGTCATTAAAACCCCAAAACATAAAATAAAACAACAGAAACCACTAATACCAAGTGGGATTCATACCATGTATGCAAGGATGGTTCAACATTAGAAAAACTATCAACATAATCCATTGCATAAATAAAACAAAGGAAAATAACGTTTGATCGCATTGACTGACATAAAAAAGGCATTTGACAAAATTTGACACTCAGGCCTGATAAAAACAATCAACAAAATAAGAATAGAAGGAAAATTCCTCAACGCAACTAAGGGAATATATTCAAAATCAATCGCCAACATTACCCTCAGTGGAAAGAAAATGAAAACATTCTCCTTGTGAACAGTAAAATCACAAGGGTGCCCTTTTCAATATTGTGCTGGAAGTCTTACCCAGAGCAATAAGGCAAGAAAGGAAGTTAAAGGCATTCAATTGGCAAAGAAGTCAAACTCTCTGTATTTGCAGATGATATGATCCTATACATAGAAAATCCTAAAGAGTTAGCAACAAATTTGCTGGATCTCATTGAAAGATTCAGTAAAATAGCAGGATACAAGATCAACATACAAAAATAAGTCAGATTCAGATACAAGGATACAAGATTGATCTTGTATCCTGCCACTTTACTGAATCTTTCAATGAGATCCAGTGGCACTATAGGATCAGCACTGGACTGTGAACCACAAAATCGGCAGTTCAAACCCACCAGCTGCTCCTCAGAAACCTTATACAGGGTCGCTATGAGTCGGAACTGACTTGATAGCACTTAACAACAATAACAAATATAATCAATAGAGCTCTAAAAAGAAAATTAGGTAAACAATAGCAATTGTTTCTGTTTGTTGTTAAGTGCCATCAAGTCGATTCCAACTCATAGCAACCCCGTACAGAGTAATAAATCTCACCTTTAGAAACAAAAGACCTATGCAAAGTAAACTACAAAACACTACTACAAGAAACCAAAAGAGACCTACATAAATGGAAGAATATATCATGCATATGGATAAAAAGCCTTAACATTGTAAAAATGTCAATACTACCCAAAGTGAGCTACAGAAATTGTGCAATCCCAATTCAGATACCAAAATAATTCTTTAAAGAGATGGAAGAATTAGTCACCAAGTTTATACAGAGATAAGCAATGCATTACTAAAGAAAAGGAACAAAATAAGAGGCCTTTCACTTCCTGATCTCAAAACACAGCCACAGTATCAAAACAGCCTGGTACTGGTACAATGAAAGACAATGGAACAGAATTAAGAGCATTTACGAATCGGGCTGTGAACCGCAAGGTCAGCAGTTCGAAACTACCAGTGGTTCCGCGGGAGAAAGATGTGGCGTTCTGCTCCCGTAAAAATTTACAGCCTCGGAAACTCTGTGCAGGGTCGCTATGAGTCGGAACCGACTCCAAGGCACTTAACAACAACAATAACAATGGTCAGCTGATCTTTGACAAAGTAATAAAACACATTAAATGGAGAAGAGATAGCAAATACAGCTACCCATTTGTAGAAGAATGAAATACGACCCATATCTCTCACTCCATGCACAAAAACTAAAGATGGATCAAAGACTTAAATGTAAAACCTAGAACTATAAAGATCATCCATGAAAAAATAGAGAAGAAGTTAGGGGTTCTGATACATGCATAAGTACACTACCAAAAATAACTGAAAATAAATAGCAGAAGACAAAATAGATGACTGGAACCTCCTTAAAATTAGACACCTCTGGTTGTGTGCTGTAAGATTAGCACTGGACTGTGAACCATAAGATTGGCAGTTCAAGTCCACCAGCTGCTGTTTGGAAACTCTATACAAGATCATTATGAGTTGGAACTGACTTGATGGCACTTACCAATAACAACAGGATCAGCACTGAACTGTAAACCACAAGGTCGGCAGTTCAAACCCACCAGCTGCTCCTCAGAAACACTATACAGGGTCACTATAAGTTGGAACTGACTCAAAGGCACTTAACAACATGTGCATCAAAAGATTTCACTGAAAGAAGAAAAAGAGAATCCAGACTGGAAAAAAATTTGGGCAATGGCATTTCAGACAAGAGACTCATCTCTAAAATTTGTAGAAAACTTAAGCACCTCAACAACAAAAAGAAAAATAATCTAATTTAAAAATAAGCAGAGGGCATAAGCAAACACTTCTCAAAAGAAGATATTCAACCAACCAAAGGGTATACACTACAAGCCTCCCCCCGCCCCTCCCCCCCCACCATCAGCACACAGCCCCTCTCCCTCTCTGTGATGCATGGAGGGGATTATAACGATGGCAATGATAGGATGAACGTAAAACTAATGTTCTCCTATGTAAACTATCACATAATTCATAATAAAAAATTTTTTTTAAAAAAAAAGAAAGAAAAGTGGTAAATACTGTTTGTCAATATTTTGACAACATGGACATTTCATGACAAGCAAATGCTTCCATATAGAACTAGAATGATTTTCAACAATGTAAATTGGATCATTTTACTGACCTACTAACCATTCATTGACTTGTTGTTGTGTATAAAATAAAGTGCACAAATTCTGACCCATCGGTTCATTAAAAAAAAGAAAAAGAAGAAGATATTCAGGTGGCCAACAAACTTATGCATCAATGCTCATGATCATTAACCATTGTTGTTGTTTTTATTAAGGGCCGTTGTTGCTGTTGTTAAATACCATCAAGTCAGTTCTGTCTCAGCAACTCTGTATAGGGTTTCCGAGAAGCAGGTGGTGAGTTTGAACTGCTGACCGTGTGCTTATCCTACAGTGCCACACCAAGTATCATTGTAATAAACACCATTAACATTGTTGTTATGTGTCATGGAGTCCATTCCAACTCATAGCAACACCTTACAGGGTTTCAGAGACTTTAAATCTTACTCCTGCAAAGCTCCTGGCGGGCTGTCCAGTGTTTATCTATGGAGTCATCATTAACATTGTTGTTAAGTGCCTTCCAGTCAGTTCTGACTAATAATGACCCTATGGAAGGTTTCCAAGGAGCGGCTGGTGGGTTTGAACCTCCAACCTTGCTGTTAGCAGTGCTCATCCTACAGCACCACACCAGGATATTGTTTTTGTTATTAAGTGCCGTTGAGTAGATTCTGACTCATAGAGACCTTGTATAGGGTTTCCGAAGAGTGGCTGCTGAGTTTCAACCATCAACCTTGCAGTTCAAACAGACCTTGTAGTCCAGCGCATTAATCCACAACGTCACACCAGGACTCCACACCAGTTATTGTTGTTGAGTTCTGTCAAGTCAGTTCCGACTCATACGGACCTTGCATAGGGTTTCCAAGGAGTGGCTGGTGAGTTTGAACCACCAACCTTGCAGTTTAAACAAACCTTGCGGTCTAGCACATTATCCTGCAGTGCCACATCAGGACTCCACACCAAGCTATAGAAATACATAAAAAAGAAAGTGAAGATACTTTGGGATCTCCCTATAACTAATGTCTATTTCATACATATGATTAAAGATTCTTTATATCATATTGTTGTTGTTGTTGTTATGTGCTGTGGAGTCGATTCTGACTCATAGCGACCCTGTACAGGGTTTCTGAGGCTGTAAATCTTTACGGGAGCAGAAAGCCTCATCTTTCTCCTGTGGAGCAGCTGGTAGTTTTGAACGGCTGACCTTGAGGTTCGCAGCCCGATTCGTAACCACTACACTACCAGAGCTCCTTATATATCATATTAGCAATAAATTTTTTTAAAATGCATGTTTTACACTTTGTGTAAAAACACACTGATTATCTTTTTTAATATTAAATTTATACATATATATTTTTGCATTCTGGTAGCGTAGTGGTTACGAATCGGGCTGCGAACCGTAAGGTCAGCAGTTCGAAACTACCAGCTGCTCCACGGGAGAAAGATGAGGCTTTCTACTCCCGTAAAGATTTACACCCTCGGAAACCCTGTACAGGGTCGCTATGGGTCGGAACCGACTCGATGGCACTTAACAACAACAACAATATCCTATTATTTACTTAGTTGAGGTCCCTAGATGAGGCATTTCTAAATAAAGATGGGCACATCTACAATGTCGATCATACTCTTAAATAACTGTAAAGCGATTATAACAATTCACAGCATGAAAGTGCATTTTCTCATCTCTCTGGCAATGAACAGTAAGGTTTATGATTATTTTTCATACTTGCCAGCATAACAAACAATGAAATCTCGTTGTGTTAAATGTCAATTTCAATTACTGTAACTAAGTTTAATCATTCTGTTATGTGCCCATTGGCCATTTGTGCTTCTTTTGTAAAATGCTTACTCTTACCCAGTCTTCTCCCATTTCCCATTGTGAATGTTCCTCTTTTTCTGTTTGCTTTATCAGAGTTCTGTATTATTCATTTTTCGTCTTTTGCATAGGATCAGTTTGTTTCAGGCTTTCCCCCTTTTTACTGCCTTATAGATTTCCAATTTATATTCTCCCCTAGTCTTCTAATGTCACTTACTGAAGCTTGTGTCCTTCCCTCCCTTCTTCACTCCCTCCCTCCGTCTCTCTCCCATCCTGCCATTCTTTTCTCTTTCTCTTTCTCCTCCTTCTCTCCCACTCCGACCCTCTCTCTTCCTTTCCCGTTCGAAACAGAAGTTTTTAATTTTTAACTCGTCAAATCTCTCAATCTAGGCCTGGCGCCCTCAGCAAAGGGGGGCGGGAAGGCGGGAGCCGCGCTGGGGGAGGGGAATGGGCGGGGAGGAGCGGGCGGAGCGGCTTTGCAGGAGTAGCTGGGAGTGCTAGCGCGGTTGGATCACTGGGCGGCTGCGGAGGCTCAGATCCCTAAGCGTGGATAACTAGGCCCGAGGCCTACGTGGAGCCCTCTCACCACCGGTGGACGGGGAATCGCAGCCTTCATCTCAGAGGTACGGTGCTAAGTGCTCCCTACTCGCCTGGCCCAGCCTGCTGTGGCGGCGCCTCCTTCCTCCTTCCCTCGCTCCTCTTGCTCACCCGCCCGCGCCTTTCCTGCCTGCCTGCGTCACCGCGACCGCCATGGCTGAGAACGGAGAGAGCAGCGGTCCCCCGCACCCCTCTCGCGGCCCTGCTGCGGCCCCAGGCTCGGCCATTTCACAGGCCGAGCCCAAAATCATCAAAGTCACTGTGAAGACCCCCAAAGAGAAAGAGGAGTTCGCAGTGCCCGAGAATAGCTCAGTCCAACAGTTTAAGGAAGCGATTTCGAAACGCTTCAAATCCCAAACCGACCAGCTAGTGCTGATTTTTGCCGGAAAAATCTTAAAAGATCAAGATACTTTGATTCAGCACGGCATCCATGATGGACTGACTGTTCACCTTGTCATCAAAAGCCAGCACCGACCGCAGAGCCAGTCCACTCAGCCTAGCAATGCTGCGGGAACTAATACTACCACGGCATCGACTTTCAGGAGTAACTCCACACCGATTTCCACAAATAGCAACCCATTTGGGTTGGGGAGCCTGGGAGGACTTGCAAGTCTTAGCAGCCTGGGCTTGAGCTCGACCAACTTCTCTGAGCTACAGAGCCAGATGCAGCAACAGCTCATGTCCAGCCCTGAGATGATGATTCAAATCATGGAAAATCCCTTTGTTCAGAGCATGCTCTCGAATCCCGATCTGATGAGGCAACTTATAATGGCAAATCCACAGATGCAACAGTTGATTCAGAGAAACCCAGAAATTAGTCACCTGCTTAACAACCCAGATATAATGAGGCAGACCCTCGAAATTGCCAGGAATCCAGCCATGATGCAAGAAATGATGAGAAATCAAGACCTGGCTCTGAGCAATCTCGAAAGCATCCCAGGTGGCTACAATGCTCTAAGGCGCATGTACACTGACATTCAAGAACCTATGCTAAATGCTGCACAAGAGCAGTTTGGGGGTAATCCGTTTGCCTCAGTGGGGAGCAGTTCTTCCTCCGGAGAAGGTACACAGCCTTCCCGCACAGAAAATAGAGATCCCCTACCCAATCCATGGGCGCCACCACCGGCTACTCAGAGTTCTGCCACCACCAGTACCACCACAAGCAGTGGAAGTGGATCAGGCTCCAGTAATACTACTGGGAATACTATGGCTGCAGCCAATTATGTTGCCAGCGTCTTCAGTACCCCAGGCATGCAGAGCCTGCTGCAACAGATAACTGAAAACCCCCAGCTGATCCAGAATATGTTGTCTGCACCCTACATGAGAAGCATGATGCAGTCTCTGAGCCAGAATCCAGATCTGGCTGCACAGATGATGCTGAATAATCCACTGTTTGCTGCAAATCCTCAGCTGCAGGAACAGATGCGTCCACAACTCCCAGCTTTCCTGCAGCAGATGCAAAATCCAGACACACTATCAGCCATGTCAAACCCAAGAGCAATGCAAGCGTTAATGCAGATCCAACAGGGGCTACAGACATTAGCCACAGAAGCACCTGGCCTCATTCCAAGCTTCACTCCAGGTGTGGGGGTGGGGATGCTGGGAACAGCCATAGGCCCTGTAGGCCCAGTTACTCCCATAGGCCCCATAGGTCCTATAGTCCCTTTTACCCCTATTGGGCCAATTGGGCCCATAGGACCTACTGGCCCTGCAGGTCCCTCTGGCCCTGCTGGCTCCAGCGGTCACACCGGGTCTGCGGTGTCTAGCTCTGCACCCAGTGAAACCACGAGTCCAACATCAGAATCTGGACCCAATCAGCAGTTCATTCAGCAAATGGTGCAGGCTCTGGCTGGAGCAAATCCTCCGCAGCTGCCAAATCCAGAAGTCAGATTTCACCAACAACTGGAACAGCTCAACGCAATGGGGTTTTTAAACCGTGAAGCAAACTTGCAGGCCCTTATAGCAACAGGAGGCGACATCAATGCAGCCATTGAGAGGCTGCTGGGCTCTCAGCCATCTTAATTACATTTCTGTACCTTGGAAAAAAATGTATCTTATTTTTGATAATGGCTCTTAAATCTTTAAACACACACACCCATGCTTTACTATTCATTTTGATGCTTTTAAATTTGTCTAGTTATAAATCTAATATGATGTATTTTAAGATGGAGCCCCTTCCATTCCTTTCCCTCCCTTCCCTTCCTCTCCTTCACTCCTTTCCCCTTCCTTTCTTCCTTCGTTTTTTCCCCTTCTCTTGTGAATGGTGGGAATCAATGCTGTTTCACTCAAAAGTGCTGCATGCAAACACTTCTCTTTATTCTGCATTTAATGTGATTTTTGCAAACAGGTATCAACTTTAACAGTTGGGTGAACAAGTTTTGTCCTACAGATGTCCATTTTATTTGCATTTTAAACATTAGCCTATGATAGTAATTTAATGTAGAATGAAAGATATTAGAAGCAAATTATTTGAAAATCTAATTTGTGGTATAATATTGCTTATTGTGAGTTTGGCATGTAGTTTTTGCTGGCAAAATGCTGTAAGATTTATACCACTTACCATTTTTGCTATATTTGTACACAGTACAGAAAGCACAATTGAAACTGTGCATCTTTTAGATAAATTACAATCAACAGAGCAGAGTAAGTGTAACCCAAACAAGAAAGAATAAAATAAATATTTCAGAAACTAAGTATTTCTCCCAATTTTGTATAATCTTACAGCATCTTTAAACTTCTCAGTGAAAATGGTGGCTAGACAAGTTCAGTTAAAATGTACTAGAAATGTGTATCCTGGTTATCTGTAAGTATACATTTAATTGTACAGAAAACTTCAGTGTAACGCGTCAGCATTCACAGAGTGACTGTGTATGACCTTATTCTTTGTGCAACCTGAAGGATCAGTGTAGTAATGCCAGGAAAGCGCTTTTTACCTAAGGCTTTCTTTTTCAGCTTCTCTTCCTAAAGAGACCTTAATATGCATTTTGATATGTAATTGGAAATGTAACTTTCACTGAAAGTGTCATGTGATGTTTGAATTACTTTTAATTGCTATGTATAAAGAAAACTGTATCTTTTGACTTTATCAGTTATTTCTCTTGTGCACAGGGAAAAATGCATTAAAAATGATTAAAAAAAATAAAAAATAAATTAAAAATGGGTAAATCTTTTCCTTTTTGCTTCTGGCTTTAGGACCTTGTTTTGAAGGTTGCTGCCCCTTAAGATTATGTAAATCTTATCCTACTGTTTCACTAATTTATGGTTTTATTAACAAAAATTTTTGCCCATCTGAAATTATTGATGCTTCAAACCAAACTCTTAGCTGTAGAGTTGATTCCAAGTCATGGCAACCCTTTAGGACAGAGTAGAACTGCCCCATAGACTTTCCAAGGTTGTAATCTTTACAGAAGCACCTGTGGAGTGGCTATGAGTTCAAATTGTTAACCGCTCGGTTAGCAGCTGAGCATTTAACCACTGTGACACCAAGAATCCTGTTGTATAGAGTTAAGTATTATAATTTTTTTTTTTTACCCAAAGGATTAGTCTGTTACATCACCTTCCCCTTGAAATTTTATTTGTATATTTTAATATACTTTATATAAAGCATATGTATATACGTATATATATATATATATATATATATATATACTTTATTCTGTGTTTTATTTCCTATATTGTTGTTGTTAAATGCCATTGAGTTGGCTCTGACTCACTGCAACCCTGTATAGGGTTTCCAAGGAGCAGCTGGTGGGTTTGAACTGCAGTGCAGTGCTGATCCTACATACAGCTCCACAATATCACTGAACTATATATTGTAGCTTAACTATATCAGCCTATAGTTTTGTTAGACATATGTCTTCATACCTTAAGGCAACTCCTATTGATCACGTCCCCCCCCGCATTACTTTTCTGATGATCTTGATGTATTTATTTTAACAGATTAACTTTACAATTAATAGATGCCCCCTACCTGCAAAAAATTGAGAATTTGGTTGAGATTTTCAAAACATGATATGGTGAGAATTACAGTCTTTCTTTCCAGAATGGAAACACAATATGTTGTCTCCTTTAAAAAAAAAAAAAAAAATCACATAAAAATTAATGACCAGAAACCAGAAAAACATTAGAATTAATAAAGATCTGGGTCTTTTTCAGGAAGTAAACAAAAATAGATTAAAAAATGATAAACATTTGGCAAAGCAAATTAAAATTTCTGTTCTTTAAATGTTTGAAATAAATTTGCCTGCTAAGCTGCCTGGGCCAAACCTCAGAAAACATCCAGTTTCCCCTATGGTTATTGACTTATTGCTATCCTTTATGCCTCTGGTTGATTTTACTATTTTTCTATAAAATTTTGATTAAAAACTTTAAATTTATTATGGCAAGCTTTGTCTTTATGATTATCTCTAACACCCCTAACACCCCAAGATCTTACTGTTGTTAACTGCCATCAAGTCGGTTCCAACTCATAGCAACCCTGTATAGGGTTTCCAAGGAGCGGCTGGTGAGCTTGAACCACCGACCTTGCAGTTCAAACCGACTTTGCAATCCAGCGCATTAACCTGCGCTGGACACCTGGACTCCCCAGGATCATATAGTAATGAAATAATAAGTCACCATTTATTAGTGGTACGCCAAATGTTACTTGGTATATTTAAGGGGAAAAATGGTTATTTACTCAAATAATTTGGGAAACACTGGGTTAAAAATGTAAAGTACCCTCTCACTGTTTATTTGGTTGCATCCCCTCCCTAGGCCTACGCAGGATGACTGGATGATGTAAGTTCATATACTAAATGATCTAGCAGGGTGAAGTCGTAAGGAGGAAGGGAGGGCCAAGGGCAGCCCCTGCAAGAAGACTTTACCAATAGGCAGGTGTGCATGTTTGCTTTTTTGGTCTCTACTTCAGGTACATGGTATATGAACTTGTGTGTGTGGTTAGGGCAGTGGGGGTTGGCATGTGTTGTTATACAACATTAAGCCCTGCTGCTTCAGTAAAAAAGACTGTTAGCATCAGGTGGAGACCACCATACAGGATGAGGAATCACTTAAGGAGACACCTGCATTAAAATGTGGTTGAGCTTGCTCTCTGAGAAGGAGCAGTCTACTCCAAGTTCTGTTGATTTTCTTTATTAAGATAACAGCAAATGGACTGATTCCTGTCAGAACCTAGCCCAGGGATTGCGGTTAAGGTGTTAGGTGAGCCATTTAGCCTTACTTTCCTAAAGGGACTCAAATTCACATTTTTGACATTATCTCTAAATGTGATGATAACTCCAGCCACAGAGTCAGACTGACCTGATGGGAAAATGTTCATACAGCTTAAATGTAAAAATTTGGGGTTATATGGCAATTTTGATAACCCTAATTCTTAGGAGCAAGGATGGCAAGACTTCATCTATTGTACTTTGTACATATTATCAAGAGGAACCAGTCCCTGGAGAAAGACATCATGCTTGGCAAAGTAGAGGGTCAGTAAAAAAGATGAAGACCCTCAATGAAATGGATTGACGGTGGCTACAACAATGGACTAAAAAAACAATTGTGAGGATGAATCAGGACTGGTCAGTGTTTTCCTTCTGTTGTACACTATGAGGCAGAACCGGCTTGATTTTACCTAAAACAACAGCAATTTGATACTTTATTTAAAAAATACACTGGGATGCTTAAATAACATGTAACCTCTAGTAAGCGAAGTTCTCATTTAAATATTTTCCACTGTGCCACCCACCTCCAGTTCTTGCTGTTTTAAACTAGATAGTGTCAGTTCCTTTCTTCCAGGATTCTCTTGATTTGTCAGGATATCACAGAGCTTTCTTTTGGAAGGCAATTAATGGTATTCTTTAATCTGACCCCAACAATAACATGTCTTACAGAAAATTACTGAATATTGTGTTGCCTTCATTGCTTGTAGAGATTTCCCCCAATTTTGGTTTTCCTAGGACAAATTCTGTTGATTTGTGGGAGGAAGGGCAAAGATTGAAGACTTGTTAAGTTGCCATCTTTCCATACGCCTGTCAGAAGACTCAGGACAAAGCAATTTTTTTAAAACATGGGAAGTGTGATTGGGCAGATTGGACTGAAACTACCCCAAAGTGCAAGCTTCATCAGGTGGTTTATATACTTGCCTAGTTTAGACATTTTGTTGATAGATAAAAGCCTTAAAGCAACACATTCGAAAGTGTGGTTAAGCTACCCTTTGTTGATGTTATTAAGGACCTTTGAGTCGGCTCTGACTCATAATGACGCTGTGCACAGCAGAACGAAAACACTACCCGGTCCTCTGGCATCCTTAACGATTGTTACACTTGTGCCCATTGTTGCTGCCACTGTGTCAGTCCATCTCCTTAGAGGTCTTCCTGTTGATCTTCCACTTTACCAAGCATGGTGTCCTTCACCAGGGATTGGTCCCTCCTGATGACATGTCTGAAGTATGAGAGATGGAGTGTTACCATCGTGGCTATTAAGGAGCATTCTGGCTGTACTTCTACCAGAGATTACAGCTCTCTCTGTATTGAGATATCTGAATATAGATCTCGACTCTCAAAGACAGCACTTTCAAAATCCAATTTCAGACTTTTTGACCCAATGTAGAGTCCTGGTGTGGAGAAGCACTGGGTAAGCACCACAAGGTTGGTGGTCACTGTAAATTGGAACTGACTTGATAGCACTTAACAATAAATAAGGTAATTTCAGGACAGATTCTCATTAATAATTAAAAGGCTTGCTGATAAACATGAAAGAAAAAGGGTTATTCCACAGATTTCACTAGCTTGCCCTCTCAACTAATTTTTCTGCTACAATTGGATGACAGTAATAGGCAACAAGTATTCATTTTTGTGCTCAGTTTTCATGACAACCCTATGTTATTGTTAGGTGCCATTGAGTAGGTTGCAACTCATAGTGACCCTTTGTATAACAGAACGAAACGCTACCATGTCTTGTGCCACCCTTACAATTGTTTTAGCCCATTGCTGCAGAGACTCAATCCATCTCATTAAGAGTCTTCCTCTTTTTCACTGATCCTGTACTTGGCAAAGCATGACATCCTTTTATGTTGGATCATCTTTCTTTGGAAAGGGCACAAACATGGATATTTTCCAGTCAATTGGCCATATA